CGGAAATTTTATGGATCTGCCATCTACTAACCATGGTGCTCACTTGTTAACAATATCTTTTTGCTTCACGCCCACCGCACCACTTGTTGTGAATCTTGTTGTGAATTACGACAAAATTCAATATCAATTTGTGAGGCAAAGAACAATAGCAACCAAAATAAATGGTCTTCAGCAATAATAATTCGTACACAGATAATATAACAGAATAAGACAAGTAAAAATCGAAGGTTTGTTTACCCAGTTCGATCAAACGATCTACTCTGAGGGAAAGAGCAGCTCTCAAATTCACTATACTTAAAAAATTGTTACAAAAGATTACATATGAGTTACAAGAAAATAACCTTCGCCTTCAGGTTCACAAGAACAACTCTGAAGGCACCCAAGAACAACCATATTTTCTACCTAAGTGTTTCCCTACCTTTCCAACTCTCATATATGAATCACTCAAACTCAATGTGTAATCCAATATTTTCTTTGTGCATAGTTGAAATCCTATGCTATACCTTTAAACACTTGGTATCCCTTGTTGGTGAAAACTTTAAGATTGTCACACACCAAACATATAAGAGATACATATTTATAATAGCAAATATCCAACAAACAAAACCCAAAATCACATGGATTTATGGACCGAATCGAAAAAACCCGAAAACTCGAAAACACTATTCATCCGTACGGATATCACTATTTACCGACCGATTTTTTTTTTTGACTTTTCGTCCGACTTTCTAAAACTTTCGATTTTCGCGGTAAATGCAATTTTCAAAATATGTTTTCTTTCTCTTCATCAACAAAGGTTTTAAGGCATATTTACAACATATTTCATTGTTAATACAAAAGTTGACATTTGGCATTAGAAGGTTGGGAAAGAATTTGAAAGATTTATAAATAACACATAATAAAAACAAAATGTTTCAATACACATAACTTAACATGTTTCACACCTCAGACACACATCAAAACTATTTTATAACAAGACTAAAAGGAAGTTCGTTGAAGAACAAAAAAAACAATATATAAAAACTAAGGAAGAGAACTTGAACAAGAATAAGTCAACCATAACCTATAAAAACGATGGTGGCAAGACAAACAATTGTGGCGAACACCCAATCAGCAATTTGGTAAAAGTAAGTTTTTGTGATTTATGGTTTATAATTTTTATTTTTGGAGTTTGATTTTGACAACATGTTTTGTTCAAAGGAAAGTGTAAGCAAATATGAAGAAAGTTGAACCGATACAAAATTTAGAATTTAGAATAGGTTAAGTAAAATATTAAGTAGATATTTATAATATCCGTTCATTAGTCAGATTATTTTTAAAAACTAAAATCAAGAATCCAACTAAATCACGTTAGTTTTTATTGGTTTTGTTCGATTTTAAAACCAAATTAAAAAATAGTTTAGATAATCAGTTTAATTGATTTTTTCTGATCTACTCACACTTTTATTTTGAAAAATGGAAAATGGTGATAAAAATGTTAGAACATTTTTTTTCAGTTTCATTTGACTTGGTTTTAATGATGATATGAAAATAAATTTTAATTACTTATAATTATGATGAATAATGAATAAATAACCTAAGGTGTATTAATGACTCGTTTCACTTTGTGGTGAAGAATGAATGTGGACTTTAAATGGTTTTAATGATGATATAAACATGATTTATGATAAAACTAAAGTTTTGGATTGAAGATGATTAGAACATGGTTTTTAAAAAAGATAAAAATATATTCCGAGTTTAATTTTGAGATTGGAATGTCTCTTAAACAATTCAATTGAAACATTTAAATTATATTTTGAGAATAAATAAATAATTTACTTTTACTTTTAATTTTAGAGATTTCTTAATTTTTATTTCAATAATATTTAACTGTTTTTATAAATAATTTTGTAAAAGAGGATACGAATTGCACGAAAATATTAATAACAACGCGGAGGCGCAAACGTTGAAATCACATAGAACGGTAGATCCCTTCTCTCTCTTCTCCTTCTCTCTCATTTGATTTCCTTCCCCAATTCTTCAACCCAATCCCTCTCCCCCTTTCTCCTTCTCCTTCAATCATATATCGTCATTTCATAAATCACAGGTATGTATAACATCATTTTCCTTTTTTTCGCTCTTCACTTTTATCTTTATTCTTGAAATTCGCGTTTTTATTGATTAATGTGTGTATGTATCTCGTCGAATTTCACTTTACATTGCAAACTTGTGTGAACTCGATTTTGCTTTTTATTATTTTCGACATTTTTCATTATTGTCGGTGTTATTATTATATTATTATTATTATTATTTTTCTGACTAAATACATGTCATAATAATGTAAATAAAATTTGTTATTCTGCCAAAAATATCTTTTTTTTTGTTTGTTGTGTGTAATTCGAGGTAGATAGTTGTTGCTGATAATGGGATTTAAGTAGAGTGAATGAGATCATGAGATGAATGAATTCTTCTAGTGTAACTTGTGATATAAAACTATCAATGAAGTTCAAATCTAGATTTTATCACGGAGTTAGTTTTAAAATATGCAATGTTGTAATCAAATGTCAACAAGAGAGTATGCGTAGAGGTGAACATTATGATGAATGAGTGGTTACATCCCATAAGACAATGTAGGATTAGGAATGAAAGTATTGAAGACTAAGATGAGTTAGTATCCATTGTGGAAAAAATGTTAGAGTCTCGTCTTGGGTTGCTTGAGCATGTATGGAGAAAGCACATTGAAGTATCGGTTATGAGGGTAGATCAGATAGAGGATAGTTTGATAATTTGTGGTACAAGGAGATTAAGAAAAGCATAAGTCAAACCATTAAATGAGGTTTGGATTTTATCGATATGATTTGCAATAGGATCACTACATCTCATCTATGTAGTTGATCTCATTTAAGGAGAAAAAGACTTGTGATTGGTATAGTTGTATTGTACCTTTGTTTTGATTGATGTGTAATTCGAGGTAGAATGTAGGAGGTAAAGAAAAATAAAAGTCGAACCATTAAAAGAGATTAGGAATTTAATGGACTATTTTTCTATATGATTCATAATAGGAATACTATAGTGTGTCATTTGATCTACTTAGCTGACACCACTTGTTGAGAAAAAGACTTGTGATTTGTATAGCTGTATTGTACCTTTGTTTTGATGGATTTGTAATTTTTCTGTTTTTTAATCTTTCGTTCTCTGTTCCGATAATATCTTACTTTATCACTACACTACCACCCAAAGTTTATTTGGCTATTTGTTGTAAAAGGTTGCCTCATCCTTTTAGTCTCTGAAGCTAAACTTTATTTGAATTTTAGAGTTCTAAAAACCTCTGCCTGTCAGATTTCAAGCCCAAAGGGGTCTCATATTCAGGGATGCGCTAGATATAAAATTATTCGGGTGCTTTCACAGAGTATCATAAACTTTGGTGCTATTTGGCTCATGACACTTCATTAGTGTTTAGCTACATGGATACTGAAACCATAGAAGTCATCTTCGTTGAATATTGATATTGACTTGCCTTTGGTTATAGTAGTATATATGGGTCTACCTGGCTTATTTAATGCTTAAAGTCTTGCCTTTTTTGATTTCTTGGTAAGAATGATCTAATAAATGTTTACATATTAGCAGGGTTTGATATCATATAAAGCGAAAGAGTAAGTTGGAGTTCAAGGGACTGAGGGGAAAACAAGGAGATAAGTTTGAGGTATTTCCATACGATGACTTTACCTCTTGCAGAATTTCATATCTAGGTATCTATAGAAGTAATTGTCCTAAATGATTTAGTACGCTATAGAGACCCATCTTAAGATTTATAAAACTCGCAAGTCACAGTTGTTTTTGCCAACAAATGTTTTTCAGGGGTCAAATTAGTTTCCCCTCTAAAGATATTGGTGGGTTGAATTGTGCTAATGCTTTGACAGTTACTGATCTTTTTCTGTTACTTCCCTCCCTCTGCATCAAGCTTGCTGCTTTGTTGATCTTTTTCTGTTACTTCCCTCCCTCTGCATCAAGCTTGCTGCTTTGTTGATCTTTTTCTGTTACTTCCCTCCCTCTGCATCAAGCTAAGATAGCTATCAATTTTAATTTGAACAATCTGTACGCACATAAATCTCATCAACTAATTTGGCATCCATACTTAGATTTTTTGTTATGCTAAGAGAAGACTTAGCAGTCTATGCTAGTTGGAAGTCTTCTGGATCTTTTGATCAATGCTTTTCCATTCCTGAAAAAGTTATTGCTGTTGATAATCCTTTTCGTATTTCTCTAATTTTTTTTCCTATATGTCAACCCCCTGCTAGAAAGGCAGGCAAGGAACCCATGGGTGCTAACTGCTAAGTCATCCACCTGTTATGTGTTTTAGTGTTATCCATGCGTATGCCAAGGAGAAAAATAATGACATGAAAAGTAACCATATGACATCCCTCTCCTCCAGCACATGATAAGTATTTGAAGTGTGATTTAAGGTTTTAATTTGTGAGCAATGCTCATGAATTTAAATTTACACAAGTATTTTAAGTGATTTAAGGTTTTCTTTGTCTTACCAATGCTATTTTATATGCATATATATGAATTTATATGTATAAATATGAGTTCTCAAGTTTTGTATATTCTTACAATTAGTGTTATGGTTCCATGATTTATGATTTTACTTTCTCTTCCCGATTTTGCGTAAAATCTCGATTTTAACTACCTTGATTTCAGGTGTCCTAGAAATTTTTGGTTCAATTGGATTGAGTGAGGTCTGTATGCTAATGGTGGGTGGATGCAGTTCTGTACACTAGAAATAGTCAACTGTTGCATCATAAGGTATATATACATCTTATGATTTTTTTGGAAATACAACTTGTCACTCACTAATATATACCCGATCTATCTTCCGGATTTCTTTCTTAGTTGGTGTTCTTGTGTTTTTGATCCTTGTTCTCGTCTCAGGTGACATTCTAGTATTGGAGAGCCAGAATCCATGGTGATTATTTGTTGTTGATTTGTTTCTTCCCACCGGCAACCCTTGGGACTTACAGATGGCTTTTTATAATGAAGAAGAGAAGACCGAAGATTACCTTTTCAAAATTGTTTTAATTGGTGATTCAGCTGTTGGAAAATCAAATTTACTTGCAAGATTCGCCAGGGATGAATTTTATCCTAATTCAAAATCAACTATAGGAGTAGAGTTTCAAACTCAGAAAATGGAAATTAACGGAAAGGAAGTTAAAGCGCAGATATGGGACACAGCTGGGCAAGAGAGGTTCAGAGCTGTTACTTCGGCATATTATAGGGGTGCAGTTGGAGCACTTCTGGTATATGACATTAGCAGGCGCCAAACATTTGATAGCATTGGTCGATGGCTTAACGAACTTCACAGTAAGGATTATAATTTGTTTGAATCCTTCTTTGCCTTCTTGAATTCTTTGTAGTTCTTGTTATGTTTGTCAGGTTAATGAAAAACATCTCAATAAATTTGACTTTGGTACAATATAGGAAAACAGTTTCATTTTTGGTTCATAGGCTACTTCACCAAGAGTATATAATCTGAGTAGTGCTAGCAACACTCATTCTAATAATCTCTTTCCAACGCTCACTTTGCAATCTTTCACAAGCAGACCGATCTTACTTAAGATCTTGTTTGACTACAATGCTCATATTAATGGTTGTTTGCCTTCTTTTTTTCTGCTTTGCTTCAAAAAGATGTATACTTACAAATATTGATGGTTTTGAACATTTGATGAAACAATGATTAAGTTTACTGGTGTATTATTTAACAGCTCACTCTGATATGAACGTTGTCACTATACTTGTTGGGAACAAGTCAGATCTTAAGGATGCGAGGGAAGTACCTACGACCGAAGGCAAGGCCTTAGCTGAGGCACAGGGTTTGTTCTTCATGGAGACATCAGCACTTGATTCATCAAATGTAGTTTCTGCTTTTCAAACAGTTGTGAAAGAAATCTACAACATATTAAGCCGGAAGGTTATGATGTCGCAAGAGCTCAAGAAACAGGATACTCCCTGGACTGAAGATGGAAAGACTGTTGTTCTACAAGAAGGGGATCAAGAAGCAGAAGTGGAGCCAAAAAAGGGTTGTTGTTCGTCTTAGGTTTGATACTTTAGTGGCTCCAAAAGTCTGTTGTTATATTTATTCAACCAAACCTGAAAATGCCACTTGGATATTCAGGATTGATCTTGAAATGTTAGTTTAAAGGAATTTGGAGTAGAAATTGTCAATAGATTGCAAGCACAATTAAAAGTAATGACAACTAAAAGTGTAGCTTTTCATTATAAGAACACACTGGCTAGAAAGATATTATGTAGAGAAATGGAAATCTGCAATTACATTTGTAGAAAATTAAATTTTTAAAAAGTTACCTTTTAAACAAGTTTGTTTTGGGAATGACTATCAAAATGACTTTCGATATAAGTTACTTTTACATTTCAGATTCGAACATAATGATGTAATACTGATGTACAAGTTTGTTTTGCAAATGACTTTCGATATAAGTTATTTTTACATTTCAGATTCGAACATTATGATGTAATACTGATATATTCCACACTATAAATTCAGATTTTTTTAGCAATAACCTATTTTCTTTTATTATGTATATTGTATTTGATGAAGTTCACATACAATAGGAAGTAGATTTAGGAAATAACTTCCATACACAATATTCCAAGCAAATGAGATGGTAAAAAAAAGTCCCAAAATATTTGTTGGAAGCAACCATCATACAAAGACAAACTTAACAATAGTAGTTTCAGCTGCTGCCCAAACATGACACTATTTTCCCTTTTAATTGAGCTTGCACTATATAGTATGATAGACAGACATTTACGGGTTAAATTGAGCATGTTTATAAGAATGGATCTTGTAAAAGCTTTCTCGATACTTTTTGCCTTGCATTTGCTTTCTCTGTACATTTCAATGCCTCGATGATGAATGCTGAACCACAGCCACAAGCTCCCCTATTAAAAAAAATCATTACCAATATAATCAAGATGCTTATCATTGAAAGCATAAACAGGAACTCACCCGTTACAAGATTGTCTATCAATTATCTTTTCCTCCACCAAAATAATAAAACATAAGTTTCATGCACACGGGCTCACCTCAAAATTCTCCTTTAAGGACTATGCAATTTATGTAGCTGGTCAACCACATCAAAGGAACTGCTCAACCGTTGGATATCAGATCGGTGAAGTACACTTCCTTGGACATGCCTGGAGCCATTTGGTTGAGGGTCTGCAAGTTGGTTTTTCTTGGATGAATAACAGTGGTGAACACGGACTCTGTGATTTCTTGTCTGGATAGTGTAATTCCCATGCACCTTAACAATTAAAATTGCTTCCTTGTCTCTTGAATCTTCACACCAAGAGTTTTGTACAACACCATCGACAAACTCTTCCTGAGTCTGAAATTCCTCGTGATGCACTGATACCTCAACAATCTGATCTGGTCTTATAATACCTGTTGCAGGACTTACCTGAATCATAAAATGGGCCGGGCAATTAAAATATGGTTCATTGCAAAGGCGGCGTCTTCTCTAAAGCAAAACAAGTTTAGTATTCGTACACTCAAATTCGGCTTTAGAACTAATTTGTAGTTCTTAATCCAATTGTTGGAACTAGTTTTTTTTAGTTCACAAGGATATAAATTGCAGATTGCTACTGTGGCCACTAACTGTAAGATGTTGTGATTGCTGATCAAGTTCGATGACATACCCCTAAAAGTGACCACAGCAGTGAGCTAACCAAACTACAATTTGAAACCTCTATATTTTTCACATTTTCATTTTTTTTTTTTTGAAAAATTCTTACTTTCATATTTCACTTTTTTTTTTCTTTTTGAATCATTTTAACTTTCACAATGACTCCAAGAAAATGGATTTTCTAAAAATCCACACGTGACAGCAAAAACATTAGACAAATTTCTGTCTTCTCAATACATTATATTCCAACTTAATCCCAGATATTTGTTCCCAATCTTATTTTATATATGTGCAACCATCCACCTTAGTATTCTTATCTCCACTACTTTAATGTGAAGAACTCATCTTAATATTTTTCTCAACTGATTTGTAGTATAAATACCATAACAGATACTTTTTGAGCATTAGATGAGTGCTGGCTAGTTAAACATCTGGGAGAACATTAACAAACACAAATTGTTACTCGCTAAATGTATGTATATGTGTGTGGGCATGAAGCATATTTTGGCATGGCAGCTACCTCGTTACTTTCTGTCACTTTACAAAACATACGCCACTAGAAAGAAAATACTTGAAACAAAAATCCTTCCTTGACTATAATATTTTAAATAGTGAATATTACCTCAAGCCACCTAGGCAAGCCAAAGGAACCTCTCAACTGATGGTTTGCTGCCTTCCGATCCTCCATAATAGTAGACTGCCCTTCACAAATTATTTCAAACAAAGCACTGTCTTCTTTACATTTATTAGTGATGCGCAAAATTAATGTGTCCTGGTTTTGAAGAATTATGTTGTTTGTACTTATGATAGTTTCAGGAATCTTGTACAATTCTTTCAGAAGACATTTTATTTTCTCATTTGACTCGAGAATCTCTCCGAACTCCTGTCTCCGTATTGGTTCATCTACTCGAGCAATATCTGTAGAAATTATGCAGCGCACAGGCTTGTGGTCACTATCTGTGACATCCATGCATGCTTCATACCTATTGAAGGTAAGATGGTATTAATCAAAACAAAAGTTGTAAGAAAAAGATGGTGGTTCTCCTCATGTTTTTCTGAAATACTTTAGTTAGTAATGCTACACAGGCAGTAAAGGTTAAAATATATTTTTACCCCTATATAAGACCCTCATTTTCAATTGGATCACTAAATGTAAAAAGTTTTTAAATTTAGTCCTTATTTGTAATGTACAATCATTTTCAATGTTGACTTGAAGATCTGTTTCCGTTTTGACAGTGTTACATTCACATGGAATTTTTGTGATGTGTAGGAGCAAAGTTGAAAATGTTGACGCATATAAGGACTAAATTTAATTTTATTTTGAAAAGGGACCAGTTTGAAAGATGTAGGGGACCATAAATATACTTTACTAACAAGAAAAGTGCGATAAAGTTCAACCAAAATTTGTCATGATGACGCTAACTTGTCCTAGCAAAATGTCGGCTATCTAGTAGTTTCCTGTTTTAGAAATCTGTAACACAACTGACTCGTTTAACATGTCTCATAATAAAGTTGTCTGTCCATCCACTGATATTATTGTGATATATTCATGAATCCCAACAGGTTCTGATCGCTAACTCAATCCCCTCTTTTATACACATGCGTAAAATAAAATAAAGTTGCCTCATCAATAGAGGGGTCAGAGCAGCCCATCGAGTCAAGCAGAACATTCCAAGTATAATGAGACTTAATATGTACAAAGTCCTTAAGGTAGGATATTTTGACCGTATACCCAATGCAATAAAAATATAAACTAGAGTACTCACTGCAATACTGAGGAGACAACAGGGTACTCCAAACTGCATTCAGCAACCAAAGAAGAGCGACTATCACGATACAAAATTCTGTCACACCAGGCAGGGATGCGTTTCTTTTCACCAGAATCATACCCTTCAAAATAACATTTAATACAGATCCAATGTCATACCCGTATTAGAAACTTAAAAGCAGTGCTGATGACAGAGTATTCAAATATAAACAGCAGTTATTTTGGCTTAAAATGGTCTCATTACCTTTCAATTTATTTATTATAAGTATTGGAAGCTTGCACACACTAAAAGAATACAACAACTACAACCAAGCCTTATCTCACCAAGTGGAATTGACTACATGGATCAACTTGCGCCATAATGTTCTATCCAAATAACTTTTCTTATGGTCTTTCTAGATCTTCCTCTCCCTCTAATTGTTTGACTTCTCTCCATCTGATCTACTCTCCTTACTACAAAATCTACAAGTCTTCTCTCTACCTGCCCAAACCATCTAAGACTATTTTCCACCATCTTCTCTACTATAGGTACTATCCCAACACACTCTAATATATTCATTTCTAATCCTATCATGTCTAGTCTTACCACACTAAGAGAGTGAAAAAAATTAAATCCTACGATTCAGAGTCTCGGCTATTCTCTTCCCCTTCCCCATCTCAACCCTCAGCATTTCACAAATTCCATGCATGAAGAGAAAAGTGAAAACCATTGTTATGAGGAGTGACTGGGATTTGTCCGATCATAAAATTTTGATATTTTCATTCTTTTTTGTTGTATCATATGATGCATCATGTGCATGTTACTGTGGACTACAGATAAATTTTGATATTTTCATTCTTTTTTGTTGTATCATATAACGCATCATGTGCATGTTATTTGTGTCTGTGTGTGTGTGTTGGGGTTCCAACCTGCCAAACCAGCTTGGTGCCGTTCAAACTTGTATGTGGGAGGAAATGTTATTATTGCTTCACGCATTCCTTGGAATGCATTCCCAGCTTCCATTTCTGCTCGAAGCTGATCCCTTTCTCTAAGCCAATCAAAGCATCTTTGAGACACAAAGTCTCTTGCTTCATCATAGGAAATGTCATCAAGACGATAATTTAAATCACCAAGTAATACAATCATGTCTGCCTCAGATAACTCGGGCACCCCTTCTGCAGACTGAAAACCAATCTCAATAATTAGTACTTTGTTTAACGGTTTGAGTGCATAATGCATTATTTAAAAAGAGTAAAGTGGGTAGTATGTGCATACATTTGTACCACGAAACATTTGAACAGAAGACGAGTTTCCAGCTGAAACATAAAGGACCAATAGCAAGCCAGATCTATAAACATGTCAAGATAAATACATGGATAAGGCAAGTGAGAAACAGTAATAGGCAAAGGCAATGTACCGGGTGTTGCATTTAAGAGGTTTGTTGGCCGGCTGAAAGACATTGTTCGGTATACATGATCAAAATCTGCATTGCGACGACCAACTGCGTCTAAATGTGCAGCAAAATGGCAATTCACAAAGCACATAATCCGATCATACACTCTTACCCTCAAACCAACAGCGCCCTGGTGAGACAAGAAATTCCCAAATCAATGGTTAGAATAACAAAAACTAACAGAAAGATG